TTTTTTTCCATGCCAAGAACAAAACAGCAAAAGTCCAGTAGAAGTAATGGGTCAGTAAATCTTGCCTTATGTGTGTCTTAATGACCGCATTTAAATGAAATTTGGGCAAACGTGCTGGAACTGCCAATAAGTAAGGTTATGAGTAGTTTTTGCCTTTGTAATATGTGCGGCATTTACCTACACGAAGTCTAAAAGTTGAACATCTGTTATTTAAAAAATTATGGGGTTGATACGTTAACTGTAAATTGGAAACACAGTCGAAATAATATTTGACAACCAACCGTTTGCATGTCACAAAATTTTGAATTGACGTCTTTAATTCACGTGTTCTGGGATCTGCAGTTCACTTTTTTGCATCCAGAAGGAAAACAGTAAATGCTATTTTGACATAGTCGCTTCATTTTTTGAAAAGTTCAGTGCATTTTAGACCAATCGACCAGGGTGCATACACATGCGAGGCGATAAACGTAAAGGGACGAGTTCTCGCCACACCCGACTGCATTGTGCGCATTGTGAACATTCCGGCACCAGAACCTCCGAGACCTCCTCCAGTTCCACAGATTAGATGTGATATACGAGGATCTGCATCTCCGTACCCCGACCGAAGTGGTGCCTGCTCATGCAAGGTAAGCTTACTTGTTCCTGCATTTATACTGTATGTATTATATCATCAAGAATTTAAGCCTCTTGTGACGGGTCCATCATGCACCGAATGTCGTCCAGGATCTTTCCATTTGCATGAAAAAGCACCGCAAGGCTGTTTGAAATGTTTCTGTTTTGGTGTCACAGATCAGTGCCGTTCAAGCAGTTGGTACAGAACTGAGGTAAGTAGAAATTTTGAAAAAACCTCCTGACAGTAATTAAAAGAATTATATGTATGTCATAACAATTGTCATAAATGTAATTGTTCAACTTGCATTTTTCACTTACTGCTATATTACTATGAGTGCTACTAGTGCTTCAATAATTGATGCTTGAAAACTATACATGGCATGAACTCAACAGATGCCGTAACACGTACTTGATACTTA